GCGCGTGCGCCGGCGCCTGGCCGCTGCTACTACTGCAGAGAGAAAGGCGCAGCCCATGCCTGCCCCCTCTCCCTCCCGCTGCCACCCTGTTCCTAATCTCTTTTCCTATATGGGCAGATGCTGACGGAGCCAGAGATGGGGCCGGGAAGAATTGGGGAGGAGACAAGCCCTGCAGAAGACTTTACAAAGAAACCCCCACCGATTCCGCAGTCACCCTCCCCCCCAACAGCTCACCCCAACTTCCAGGCACCCTCAGTCTCATCAGTGCATCCTCTTGAACTTTTCGCCTAGTCATCCCTACCCTGCCAAGGTGGTCCCTGCCTCCTTCATCTCGCACCGGGCCCCCTTCGGTTTGTTCCCCTTGCTGCAGCTGGAAAATGTTCAAGGTGCAAAGCTGACCTCACTTCCCTGCCCACAGCCCCACAGGGCTTGGGAGGAAGAGCAGGCTTGACCTTCACCTGCAAGGCCCTGCCCAGCTGGCCTAGCTGGAGGCTCCACATTCTCCCCTCACCCAGCGCCTGCCTCCCAGAGAGGCCTGAACCTGCAGAGCTCCCAGCAACCTGTTCTGACCTCCCGGTGAACGTCAAGCACTTTAGGTGCACACCCTCCTGGACTGACGGGGTGCTCTTCTCCTCAGGCGGATATCAGGGTGGAATTACACATCGGGCTTGTCTAACGTACACACGCTCCTCTCCTAACCTGTGGGGCTCCTCCCCAGAGGACGTGCTCTAGTTCCACGCTGGCATCACCAGGCGTGGGAAGGGGCCTGCTCCACAGGAGGCCCCTGACACATGCTTGTCCAGAGACTGGCTGAACCCTCCCGCTGCAGGTGCAATAGTGCTGGAAGGCCTCTTGGAAACCGTGGTGTAGATGGATGGACAAAGACTCAGAGAAGGCGGTGACTTGGCGCAGAGGTAACACCGCTCAGTGAATGTTCTATGATGCTGAATCCACACAGAAGATGGTCATCCTTGTCTCAGGGCACCTGTGCCCATCATCCTGGCTGGCTGGGAAGGCTGGAGGCAACCTCTGCATGAAACCTGTTGGGGTCCTTGAATTTCTCTGTCAAGAAATAAACAAACTTGGGGCCAGCAGGTGGCATAGTAGATAAGGCGCTGGACTCCCATGTAGTCAACTGTGGTTCGAATCCCAGACCTGTTGACGTGAAATTCATGCTGGGTACCTGTGCACAAGTGGAAGTAAGAGGAGAGGAGGATGGAGGAGAAAGGATTACAGTGTGGACATGCCCCCTGGGGGGCGATTCCTTGCTTTCTGTCTCTGTCTCTCTGGTGAGTGCACATGCCCTATAGCAAAATTTTCTTTCTAAAATAAAAGAGAGAAATGAACTTTAGATAGATAGGTAGATAGAATGATAGGTACATAGACAGGTAGGTAGATAGATATAGAAATAGGACATTTGTAAAAATAGAGAGATTCAGAGAAGGAAAGTGACTTTCTCAAATTCTCTGTCCCAACATGACCACACTGATGGTGAGATCCAGGGTCCCCAAATGTCACCTTCTCCTTTGTACCTCAAGCCCTCAAGCCCACCCCTGAAGTGTAGCCCCCTTCCAGGGACTTGTCTGGCTGTTGATGGTGTCTTCGCCTCTGTCTCAGACACCTGCCATCTCAGTCACCGCTGCCCCCTTCCTGTCCCTTCCTGTGGCTGGTGACTCTCTCCCCAGAGACAGATGCAGACCTCCACCCCACCCTCATCGTTCCCGTGGTGCAAACAACAAAGCTCTGAGGGGTGACACTGAGAGAGTTTGGGACCAGTGATAACCCTTACTGAGCATGTACTGTGTCCCAGGTGAAATGGACAAAGTGCTATAAACACAACCGCTGGAGCTGCCCAATGCCCCAGTATTGGCACCGTCCCAGTGAGAAGGGTGAACTGACCCCGCCGGTGGGTGTGAGAGCCGAGGGTCAGCCCAACAGCCCACTTCCGGATACTGGCCTTGGGGATCCTCCTACACTCCCTGGTCCCATCCTGTCCTTCCAGCCACACACCAACTCTCTCCTGGCCAGTGACCCCTGTCAGGTCCTCCCTGCCTGCGGCGCCTCCCTTCTGTGCCAGCCCGCCCTCCCCCACGCAGCCCTGCCACAGCCGCAGCCGGTCTGCAGAACGGTGCGGAGTGTTCTTTATTTATGAGATGCATCTGTGCTCCCTGCGAATCAGCTGTGAACGCGATGGTGCCTGCAGGGAAGAGCTGGAGGGTTCTAGAAGCCAACGGTCCTCCAAGAGGCTGGCAGGGGCTGGGCTCTGGGGACCAGGGTCTAGTAGGGACACGCATTGAGTCTACAGAGCTGGGAACAATGTGATTGGTGCTGTTTGTGTGTGTGTACGAGAAAGAGAGAGAGAGAGAGAGAATCACTTTCAATGGGGTCTTGTCACACTGCAAGCCTCTTTCCCCAGGCCCCGAGCTGCTCAGCTTGTTTTCAGGCCAACTTGGGGATCAAACCCACACTGGCCCTGTGACTTTCAACACTGCAGAGAGGTGTACCACCAAGGTTGGTCTGCTTTTGTTCCCTTTACACCGTGACCTGCCCAAGGCCAGCAGTAGCGTCCTGGGAGATGGAGTGATGGACATCGCTATTAATTGAGCGTCTCCGTGGACTCACACAAAACCCTACGAGGCAAAGATTCCTGTGTCCACTTTACAGGGGCGGAAATTGAGGATTGCAGAAGGTAGGTAACCTCTTCCTCAGTGTATAACCCTGCTTTGACCCTCCTGCCCCTCCCAAAAGAGGGGAGTTAAGGTGGATTGAAGACGTCCTTAACATAATCAGACACCTGCACATCACATGAGGCAGGAAAATGTTGCTCAGGAAAGGAATACAGAGCAAGAGGTTGACTTCTTCTTCCAAATTCCTGCTACCTGCTTCTGTCCAGTTGCGATTTATACATTGGCTCTGAGTATCCTAGAAACCAATGCAAAAAGGGAATGCATTAGGTTTGCAAATATCCAATGTATGCAAGGAGAAAAAAAAAAAAACTAGATGCACACCGACACAGCTATGGTTGGTACTGAAAACATAGAAGGAGGCTCAGGCCCTTTAGTCTCATCTCGGACTCGTAATCTCCTAGGAACCAGCCTTTCATTCCCTTCCCCCCACTCTCCACCCCACCATCCCAGGGCAAGATCACATTATGACACCTTGGAGGGTGAGTGTGTTTTAAAATATGACCACCAGGTGTCAGTGTGGGGCAGGCCTCAGGAGGCGGGTTCTGACCAGAGGGGCTGGGAGGGGCCTGAGTAAAGGAGTGTCAGGACTCTCACTGAGCCTCAGTGAAGAAATTCATCCGCTCAGGGCTCAGGGAATGGGGCTCCACTGCACCTGCACAGGGAGCTAGAAGAGCAAGCCTTGGACAGAGAGTCAGGAATCCAGGGTTCAACTCCCAGCTCTGCTTCTGGTTATCTGCAAACTCCAGCACATCAACTCTCCTCTTTTGGCATCAGTCTTCTCATCTGAGAGAGGGATCCCTAATAGTGATTACCGAGGGGGAGAGGAGACTGAGATAGGCATAGAGAATAACGGTCACTTGGGCCTGGGCCACTCAGAAAGTGAAGGATGAAGAGTTTCTTTCTTTTTTTAAAAAAAGAATTGTTTTTATTTAACTTTACTTATTTATTTCACTTTAATTTGACCAGAGAGAGACAAGAGTAAGAGAGAGAAAGTGGGAAAGCAAGCTGCCAGGTCCAGGACTTGAACCATGGTAGGCCACATGGGAGTCCAGCACCCTTAACCACCATGCCACTTACCAGCCCCAAGGATTGAGAGTTTCTGAGCTACCAGGGAATTAAAATGCAAAGTCCCGGGACCAGCAGTTAGCGTAATGGCTAGGTTGCTGGACTCCCATGTAGTTGACGGTGGTTCATGTCCTGGACCCAGTGGCTTAAAATTCACGCCAGGTGTGTGTGCATGCGTGCCCAAGATCCCGAGAGGAGAATGGAGGAGAAGGGATTGTGGCGTGGCCACCCCCCCTGGGGGGGGATTTCTCACTTTCTATCTCTCTGTCTGTCTCTGTCTGTCTGGCGAGTGTACGCGTCCTATTAAAAAATAAGAAAAAACTCTCAAAAAAAAAAAGCAAAGTCCCACCTTCCTGGAAATGCAAAGGGGCTTCTAAAAGTTCATAGAAAATGGCAATTAAGTATGAGTTTATTTTGGTGCAAAGCTGTGAAATGTCATGCATAAACTTTCCATAAATATGCTTTTTCGGTAAACTATTGGAAGATCTTGCCTGAAAGTTGCCAGGGGCTATTTAGAGATGGAGAGGGAACCTTTGTTTCTGCTGACTGGGCTTAGAGGAGTCAGAGTCAGGACTTTTTGTTTAGGTTTTTGCCCCAGCACACATGCGCTTGCTGGAGAGAGACAGACAGGGAAAGTGAGAAATCGTTTCCCTAGGGGAGTGGTCATGGCTCAGCCCTTTCTCCATTCTTCTCCTAGGATTTTTGGGCACACGTGTACACACACCTGGCATGACTCTCCAAACATCAGGTTCTACACTCAAACTGTGGTTGGCCATATGGGAATCCAGTGCCCTAATCACCATGCCACCTGCTGGCCCAAGTCAGAACTTGCTAAAATGTAAATCACAGAAACCCCATCTTAAAATGTCTAAGACACAGAGGGCCAGGTAGTGTGGTGGTTAAGGGCACTGGACTCCCACATGGCTGATCGCAGTTCAAGTCCCAAAACTGGAGGCTTGCTTTCTCACTCTCTCTCTCTCTCTCTCTCCTTCCCTCCCTCTCTGGTCAAATTAAAAAATAGAAAAAAATTAAAAAGTTAAATAATTATTTTTTAAAAATGTCTAAGACACATAAAACAGGGAGAGGATGTTTTCTGGTTCATGTGATAAGAAGCTAGTGTGGAGTCTACCTAACAGGATGGCAAACTCATCCTCGCTGTCTCTCCTTTCCCCCATGTCAGTTTTATTTTCCGTCTGGCTTTAGGGCTAAGTTCCAAGCTCACATCCTCTGAAGATCACAAGCCAGCACATGAAGAGCTTCTCTTCCTGGACGGTCTAAACAAAATTCCAGAGTTGACTCTCATTGGCTCAAATTGAGTCATGGCCCTGCCCTCCCTGACCAATCACAGTGACTATGATTGGTCAGACCTGACTATGATTGGTCACTTCCTTGCCTCTGGACTCAGGATAGGTCGACCTCATTCAATGTGTTGACTCCGAAGAGGAAGAGGGATTCTTTAAAATAAAACTGGGGCTTTTCCCTGAAGCTGTGAATAGTATTTTTTGTTTTGTTTTTCATTTTTTTTTTTTTACAAGTTCTTTCATTTATTTCTTCTGAGAAAGAGAGGCAGAGACAGAAAGACAGCACCCCTCCTTCAGCAACCTGATGCAGAGATCCCCCCCTAACCTCCGCCAGTCCCAGATCAGGGGTGAGCAGGAGCCTGACACACTCAGGGAGGTCTTTGGACTCGAATCCAGAAGCCATGTCTGTGTGGATCAACCTCACACGGCATTGCATTTTACCTCTGTGTCACTGCCTGGCCTGTGCTAATGAAGGAGTATAAAATAAAAACATCAGAAGTCCGGCCTCCTCTGGAAGAAGTCTGTCATCCACAAGCCTTCCTCCCTGAATCAGCATCAAGAGAAGTCTCCAGAAGCTCACAGCAGGAAAAGGAAGGGCCTCCCCACCCTGCCGATGTTTCCCCTCCATTAATCTCCTAATTACAACAACTGCAAACAGAGGCCCCAGGAAGTAGGAGCAGTGGGCGGTGGGCGGGGAGTCACCACCCACAGGCCAGGTGCCCCCCACCTCCCTCCCAGCCCTGGTTGCTCATTCCCCTCCTTAGTGAGGTGGGGATAACGGGGCTGCCTGCGGGGCGGCTGCTGGCTCAGAGATAATAGATGTGCCTGGCCTTGTGCCCAGCGTGGAGACGGCACTCAGCAGACAGTGTTTCTTTATCCTTCCCACAGGGCCCAGGGCCGTCCTGACTGCCACTGCTGTGGGCCTCCTGAATAATGAATAGGTGTTCACCCCCCACCCTGCACAGAAAGCTTGCACTCCCTCTGCTCTCTCACCTCCTCCCTCTCTCTCCCTCTCCTCTTCCTCTCTCTTCTCCCTTTGCTTTCTCTCCCGTTCCTCCTCGTCCTCTCTCTGTCTCCCCTTCCTCCTTCCCCCTCTTCTCTCCGTCTCTCTCATAAAGACACCCAAGTTATGTAAGCTCTTCAGCTCCTCACCCCTTTCAGCTCTAGGTGCTTTTGATCCTTTTTATCTGTTTTCATTACGTCTGTGTCACTTCTTGGCTCCTGGGGCAGTGACTTATGGTGACAGTGGTGAGAACAGCAGGTGAATGAGGGACAGCAGGGCAGGAAGAACCAGACAGGCTGTGGCAGGGGGGCTTCAGGTGACAAGAGACAACTGAGAAGCCTTTTTCTTTTCATTTTTGAAAGATTATTACTTCCCAGAGGGCAGGTACACTCACCAGAGAGAGAGACAGAGAGAGGGAGAGGGACAAAGCACCCCCCAAGGCAGCTTGGTCATGCCACAATCCCTTCTCCAATTCTCCATTCTGTGGGAATTTGGGGCATGCACGCTCATGCTCCCAGCATAAGAAACCTTCCCCCCTTCCAATAAATATTCATTTAATTTTAGTCATCCTCATTATTATTTTTAATTTGCTGTCGAATATATGTTCTTGCCAGAGAGAGAGAGAGAGAAAGTGAGAAAGGAAGCCACCAGGTCCAGGACTCGAACTGTGGTTGGTCTTGTGGGACTGCAGTGCCTTAACCACCATGCCACCTGCTGGCCCCGGATGCCTTTTTCTTGTCTTGCTCAGCTGCACTGGCAAGAGTTCCGGAGAGCGCCATTGAGGAGGAGAGAGAATAGGCATCCTTGCCTTGTTCCTGATCTCAGAGGGAAGGCTTTCAGCGCTGCACTGCTGTGTTTACCAACCTCGAGGCTGCCCTGCGAGGACTTCCCTGTGTTCTGATAACGCTCCTTCTGCGCCTGAGTTTTGTTTTTTTGGGGGGTTTTTTTTGAGAGTTTTTGATCACACAAGGATGTGAGCTTTCGTCAAATGCTCTTTCTACGTCTATTGAGATGATCGTTTGGGTTTTCCAGGTTTTTCTTTATTCACGATAGAGCACGTGCACACAGGCATGAGACACAGGAGAGGGGTGAGCTCCCTCCACAAGGTCTGGGGAGTGCTGGCCTCATTGAATGCGTTCAAGAATGTCCCCTTTTCTTTCATTTGTTGGGGTGACTTTGAGAAGGATTGATCTAAGTTCTTTACATGTGTGGTAGATGTCCGTCATGAAGTCCTCTGCTCCTGGGCTTTTCTTTGATGGGAAATGGTTTAGGGCAAAGGAACGAAAGAAATTCTTGTCGAAAGGAAACATACAAATGGCCAACAGAGAAGGGGAAATGTCCGACATCCCTAACCAGAGAAATGCAAATGAAAACCACCACAAGATAGCACAACGCTCCTGTCAGAAGGCTGTTATCAAAGACCTGACGGGGCCAGAGGTAATGTTATGTCCTGTGAGGTTGACCCACGTGGGAAGTTCCCACGGGGAGACCCCCCCTGGACACCCACACACAAGTGCCCACGACCCAGGGCTGGCTGAAGCTGCTGGTGGATCAAGACATCAGGCCCCATTTGTTTCTCTCATTCATGGAAGAAAAAAAATACACTTTTTTTTTTTTTTTTTAGGCTTTTGCT